CCACTTGATCGGAGTCACCATATCAGCAAACACCATAGATTGGTCTCCCGGATCCAGACTCGATCATACACAGACCGCATGGTTCAGATCGCGTCGAATTATCGAGTTCTATTTCCAAAATGATTATAATGTGTGAAATTCATTCCCTAGTGGTAAACGTGAATCCACTCTCACTCACTGTCAACAGGTAACAGTAGTAGGTAGTTAGAATGAAACGCATTCTACAGCGATATTGCTGGAATAGTATAAAAGCGGGGTAAATTCCTACTCACTCAGTGCTCTGTGACCGAACATGCGCATCACGTGGCCAATGTTACATCGTCGGAATACAAGAAGTGTTCTGTTTAGCATCCCGAGCTGTGTTAGCCGTGCTGCGGAGTCTGTATGTGACTTTTGACACAGGGCTAGTTAAACACTCGCAGTCGTCATGGGCAATTAGAAACGTTTCTTGTGCACTTGACTGTTCTCTGTCAAACTTCACACAGGGCCGTAACTCCGTGCAGTGTTAAACAATATACAGGAAACGAGCCGCCCTCAGGCGAAGCGAAGCAGAGTTCGGAGTTGAAATCATAGGGCCTACATCTGCATATAGACAGGTTTGGTAAGTCTGTCTTACAGACCCTGATACAAATATTTATCAAATACAGCCCATGCAAGTCTATAATGTTTGGCAAGTAACTGGGCTCCCTTTTATTATATTTTTATCAAGATAACTGAACAATTATTTTTTTCTGTACGATGTTCATTTCAGAGACTAGATGTTAGTCTAAGGTTTGGTCGAAAACACCCAGAATATCCCCCTGTCGAAATCATGTAAACGTAAATATTATACTATTTTTTAACCAAGAAAATTTATAATGAAAAACGAAAAGGTTTTTACATGATCGTGAGAGAACGCTATTTCAAATTTAATCTTAGAAAGGAAATAATTAGAATTATCTGACGTCGGCCTGTTCGTTAATTAAAAACACGATGTCAAATCATTTGTGTTTACTTTGTGATAATGGGCGATGCAATAGGAGGTTGTGGGCAGGCTATGAGTTGTCATGGTAACACACAGCGTGGGACGATGCACACAATATCAAGAAGACTAGTGGTTTGGCTTTCCAGATTGGGGACATTCGCCAAAGTGGGAAAACCACCAGTATCACTTCGGGTTTTCCTCCCACATTGAGCTGACACGCCGTGATAGAACTGGAGTATTGTTCAATGTGGCTAACAGTACACACGATCTTGTTCTTAAGGATACGGGGGCACGGATGGCCCAGTCGCCTAAGACGCCGCGATTCGCTGTGCAGAGTTGCGCCCCTTAGGCACGCCAGAAACCTCAAAATTGGAATATACATTTAAAAATGTGTTCATTTACATACAAGAGCATTTTGAAGGCGATAGCCAGGCAGTATGGTATTCGTGATATGTTGGGGGCACGGGTGGCAAAGTTGTCTAAGGTACCGCAATCCGCTGTGCAGAGTTGCGGCCCTTAGGCACGCCACAAACCTATGATTGTGGGTTCGAATCCCGGTTTGCCCCGATTATGTTTCTAGGTTTGTCAGCACCATACCCGTGCACGTTGGTTTCACTGAAGTGGTAAAGAGACCTGCATCACTTCGGGCTGCATCACATTAAGCTGACACGCCGCGATATAACTGTAATACTATTTAAAGCGGCGTTAAACCCAACTCACTCACTCATACGGATACATATCCGCGTGGTGATTCCGGGTGAGACTGGTCCCCAGTTATCTATGCTGGCTGTTGTTGTTTGTTTTTAAACTCCGCACTCCGCAATATTCCAGCTATATGACGGCGGTCTGTAAATAATCGAGTCTGGACCAGACAATCCAGTGACTGACACCATGAGCATCGTTCACGAAATTGGGATACGATGACATGCATCAACCAAGTCAGCGAGCCTGACCATCCGATCCCGTTAGTCGCCTTTTACGACAAGCATAGTCGCTTTTCAGGGCAAGCATGGGTTGCTGAAGAGCTATTCTACCCGGATCTTCACGGGTCTACCTATGCTCGTGGTAAGATGCAACTCAATTAATGGATCGTGTGGCCAGGTTCGTTGACTTTGTTGATAACGTGTCAACGTACAGCCTGTATCGTTGTTCATATTATCAATCATTGGACACGATTATTTACAAGCCGCCGTCATATAGCAGATTATTGCGGCATAAAACAACATTCCCTCACTTACTCAGGAGATCACTGTGTTTATGCTTGTTGATGGCACTGTGACATCGCTTGTCCCATACTAGCGACATCCTTTAGGGAACTCGGAGGTGGACTAGTGACCTCGCGACTGTTAATCCAGGCTAGATAAAGTTGCTTGTCTGGTTCATGTGTATCCTCCGGCTAGTAGAGATGTCGTGTTGACGTTGCTAGTCTAGTATCGGCTGTGACCTTCAATGGGCTGTCTATGTTCCGTTCACCCTGTCCGCTATCTTGAATGACTCAGTATCAGCTAAAACGCCAAGGGTCAATTCACGATATAAAGCGATAAAAATGCGCTTTCGTGTTGATACAGGCCTACATTTGTGTGTATGAAAGTCTTCATGTAAAATGTATTTAACTGTCGGTGGATTTGAAGTGTAAGGGTTGAATAGCAAGCAGTTTATTTCAACACTGATAATGCAGTTAACATGACCCCGTTCAGTTGTCAAGGGAAAACAGACCCCCATAGTTTTTTAATGTGAACAGCACACAACGTTTGTTTAGCTACCAGGTGCTCATTATAACACATTTGTTTAACCTTAATAACGCTTACGCAACGTCACAGCTTGCTGAAAATTAACGTCTACGCGCCGTGGGTACGTTGCAAACAGGAATGGCGCCGACATTTTGAAGTTCATCGAAACACCTCTTTGAGACGTTATCAACAACAGGACAACACGCATGACTTGCCATGGGCCGGTCATGCACGTGTGACGTCACGTCAACGAAACAACCATATTCGGTTAGGGCTCCTACGGAATCGCCACATTAACGACTTGGACAATTTGTTGAGACCTAGTACTGGCCGAACCCTAGGCAACCAATTGAGCAAACACAACGTCCGGCCCCGACGTTCAGCGATGGGTCTACTTTTGCTTCTTCGTTACCATTAGGGAAGCCTAGCATGATGTAGACAGCATCTGAGGTTCAGAAGACAAGACTTGGATTGCATACTGTTCACCGACGAATCCAGGTTTCATCTGGACAGCTTTGATGGTCGTGCAAGGCTCAATGGGCGTACTTGAGAATCATTTAGCGACGCTTTGGTTACCAAAAGTCGTCAGTCTAGTGATGGAATTGAAATGGTATGGGGTGGCGTTACAACTCCAGGAACGTAACGTCACGTTGCAGCAGGACAATGCCCGTCTCCACTTTGTCCATGTAACAATGCTGCACTGCCATGGTCGGTCGTTTCTCCAGATCTCTCCCCAACAGAACATGTCTGGGCGCAAAATAAGATTAACAGACATTTTAAAGTTCATCGATATACGATATCATCTCTTTGAAGAGGTTATCCACAACATGGCAACCCTTATGACTTGAGAAGGACAAAGGTCCTGGTGTAACGTCACGTCAACAAGACAACCGTAATCGTCTGTTACCTCTACGAAATCGATACCAACTTGCCAAATTAACAGCTCGGACAGTTCATGGGTTGAGAAACAAAGATTGACAATTATGTGACTTGTCATAGAATTGTCTTTTTTGTCTGTTTGTTGTGACAAACGCCGCGCTGTGCAATATTCCCGCTACATCATGGCGTAATTGTCTATCTGTTTGCACAATTGTGTATAAACATGCTATATAATTCCACCCTGCCATCCATTACCATTTTATACCCTGAATCATACGACGACGACCACCACCACCACCCCACTGCAACTCCTGCGTGGACGACGTGGATCCTTGATGTTGCATTAAGCTGACGACGTCATAGCAAACGTGTTCCCCCGGTGTTGATCAGCGTTACAACGTTGAAAGTCTGAGTAAAGTTTTCAAACAGTTTATGGTAGACATGTGCAGGACATGTCCAAATATGACTCATCAGTGACAAGATTATGTCTGTTGCAAATCCCTCTTTTGACTTTTACCGCATCTTTCAGTGTGTTTTTTTTTGGAGGGGGGGCAGAGTGTGTTCAGCTGTTAGCAAACATCTGGTGTCATCACTAATTATTAGTGATTTAGAAACACATGCTGATGACGTAGTTTGAATCGTACAGTTGAGCTTTCCTATGATTATCGAAAGGGTTTTGTGGCTTTCATTTAATAGCATTTTCTATCCTTCTCTATGGTCGGTTACGTACAATATAGACCTTTGTGGCAAAGGGTTTTGTCACTTATATTTTAATATAAGTCATGGTGTTATTTAGATGGAATGCATTATATATGGAGTAGGGGTATAGAGTGTAATCATATAGAGATCATATAGATTGTATATACATATGTTTATGTGTGCTCCGTTCTACACACAGAGAACAACTGTGGACCAAACTAAAAAAAAAGCATGATGATTGGGTGGTAGATCAAACTCCCTAGTCAACCAAATCACTCTGTGGTAACACTGGTCAGTTAACAAAGGTTTCAGCTATCCGGAAATTTATCCTTTAAATATTTGAGAAAACGGAACTTCCCGGATAAGCGACTGTTATCTCAAGGGAAGATTTTATGGCCAGCAAGGCTTGGAAAGAACATCACAAACATCTCGCAGGCCCAGTTCTATACACAATACAACTTCATAGCAGACACAAGCGACCATCCGTTATCTCTGCCTTTGTACATAAAGGGAGTGGGGGCCCCGCTAATTTGATTCAAGACATTCAAAACTAACTTTGTCTTTAAACATATTATGTGTATTAATCTTTTTGATAACTACCCCCAATACACAGATATAATGTCACAGTTTGGCACGAAGTCTATAATGTCCACTTTTAGACATAGAGCACAAATGGATGCCAGATCATTGAACATAGTCCCCTTTGAAATGATTTGTTTCTGTTACAGACAGTCGACAGTTTCCCCGGAAGGTCAGGCTGTAGACGGTGCAAGCCTGGGTACTATGCGCATGCGTCATGCACGGACACCAAAGAGACAGTATGCCGTCGCTGCCCAGAAGGACACTTCGTTCCTGAATGGAACGTCCTGGATCATTGCTATCCTTGCTCCAAATGTGGCCACGGTTTATTCGAGCTAAAGCACTGCACGCGAATATCAGATGTGTTTTGTGAGTCATGTTCCTCATTAGAGGCAAGAGCCAGTCCTCAGTATAAAATGTTTTGCTGGGGACTTGACGCAGATGCTGCTGAGATGCTTAGCGATGAACCTGAAAAGGATGGTGATAAGGATGAACATGTGCCCGTTGGTGAAGGCGAGAAACGTTTGGAAACAGATGAAAATGATGACGAAGGTGACATAGATGATGAAGACTCATCGGGTCAGGTTCATCAAGAAGGTGATATTGAGTTTAAAGAAGCTCTACACGAGCCCCTGAAGGCGACAGATATTGACACAAAGGCAGAGGAAGTGGATATTCATGACATATCTAACGTGGATCTGTCAGAGGGAAGCGGATATGTTCTGTCGGAAGAGGAAGGAGAAGACATGGACGAAATTACTGAACTGCTTGCTCAATCAGCTACTGTAGAACCCAAGGAAGCACGCGAGGATGAACTCATCCCCCTGGGAAAGGTGAAAGGATCCCCAACTCCTAATGAGGTTGACCTTGACGTGGACGAGGAGGGAAGCGGTCTGGTGGTTGAGGATATGACAAACGTCTCACTGGCGGAGCACGTTGCTGTGACAGACGTTCCTGAGTTGACGGAGGACACGTCAAAGCTGCTGGTGGAGATTGGTTACTCTGGGGATGGGGACGAGGTAGATGTGGTGGACAACGCCACGCGTCCAACCCATGAGATCATCATTCTGACAAAGGAAATTTCTACCATTAGCGCGTCTATAGGTAAGATTATACTATTTCAACAAGGCCTTAATTAACAAATCGATGTTATTACGATGGTAAATCGTTCTAACATTGCCATACAATCTACGTGTCAGTAACGGGGTGAAAGTTATTTTACCAGCGGAATGGTGTACACGGACTTTAGCAAATAACAACATGTAACCATTGTATTATCACATGTTACGCAACAAGCATAAAATATGACGTCACCTTAAACTCTGTGACGTCAGGATTCCCGTAAACACTCTTGTGGGCATTACAAGTCGGTGACTGGACAATCAGATAGATGATTGTTTTCCGAGTAATTACAATGCATTTTCCGTGTATAGAGCCTCTTATTATGTGAAGTAATTGAATAAAGGTTGTAACAGCAGTAAAGACGACGACACTACTAATGCAAAAAGACATCCTACACAAACGTAGTCATTTGGCCTGTGCAGATCAGGGTTAGAATTGGTATTCAGCAACCCATGCCTTTTCTATTATTTACACACAGCCGTCATATAGCTGGACCATTGCTGAGTGCGGCGTAAAACAACAAACAAACACAAAACTAAGTCATGTACAAATGTAATTACATTGAGTTGGTACGAAATCGAACTTAAAACTTAATTTCTCGATTATCACTGGAAATTATTAGCAATTATTAATATCGTTTCGGGATGATGGGTCCATCCTAGAAAATATTTCATACGTATATTCTGTACTTTCTGTATTTTGTTCTGTGAAACATATTCTTCGAGGTGTCTTTTTTTGCAAATTCAGATAATCCTCTCTCTGGAGTGGAAAATGAGGAGGCTGACCCTGCTGAAGAAAATAAAGTAGAAGCCAGTGTGGATGAGGTGAGAGTCCTACAGAGAGAACTGGGTTTAAACCTTGTAGCATTTGTAGCTGACGTTTTTAATTGTGTAGGTTTGCTTCCATAATCATACCATGATTGCCGTGGGTTCGTCTCCGATAATCAAAACGGTTCTGTTCCCAGGTCTGTCAGCACCATAGTGTTGGTCGTGGGGTGTAAACGCCTACACCCCTCGTCATGTTGGAATTACCTCCCACATGGTGATGCGTGGTCTTGTGTGTCCCACAACCAGGAAAAAAAGCAGCATTGGTGGCGGAGAGTTGTTGGATGGGTAACCGTGTTCAGCAAGCTTGCCGTTTCGGAAGTTTCTACTGCTTCGGTCCTGCCCCACGCTGAAACATATGTTACATGTGGTGTCTATTTAGGCACATTAAGTTTTTTCGAAATATGCCTCTGTCCACCCAACGATGAATGGGTACCCGGTAGGATTAGATGGTAGACTAATAACCTTCTAGCGCCTTATAAGATTGGGTTGTATATGTATACTCCCCAGGGATCTGAGAATGGAATTAGCGTGCATCCTGGTGCATTTACTTCGGTAATAATGGTGCACTTTGCGCATGATATCAAGCATGGAAACGCGCAAACAAATGGACTATTATTAATATTTTATTATTAAGCTGAAACGCCGTGATATAACTGAAATATTGTTCAACCATTAAATACAACTGACCCACTCACTCACCGATGGCAAAGAGCGAATTGCGGGTTGTAGACGGGTAAAGCAGTTGCACGTTGTATGTGCCTTATATCACTGATGTGCGATACAACATGCACTGAAGTAGGCAAGCAACTACAACAGTTTGCTGTTAATCCTCTTCAATGAATATATAGAGGAGCCCCATGCCGACAGCTGTGTGACTTGGTTCACTCGGTCAATATTCACGAGGAAAAGAGATGTAGATGACAAATTTAACTTGACACTCACAGTCCACTGATGGTTGACTGAGAGCGTAATGACGAGGTTCGAACCCCTCCTTTGCGACGTGTTTAGGTCAACAAACCCTATTGACTGACTGAGGCTCATATCCACATACCATTACGGCTCTCTCTCTGTGTGTCTAACTCTGTGTGTGTGTCTCTCTCTCTCTCTTTCTCCGTCTCTCTCTCTCTCTCTCTCTCTCACACACACTCATATACACACACACTCACACTCACTCACACACACACCCATTCCACAGTCACCCCACATGCACAGACACATATGCCCAGACACACACTCACACACACAATCATTCACACATACTCACACACGCGCACACGCTCACGCTCACGCTCACTCACGCACACACACACACACTCACATACACAGACGCACACACGCTCACACACACACACACACGCAAACGTTCACTCACACACACACACACTCACATACACAGACACACACAAACTAACACACACATATATACACTCACACACTCACTCACGCACACTCACATACACAGACAGACACACACACACACACACACTCACACACACATACACGCACACTCACATACACAGACAGACACACACACACACACACACACACACTCACATACACAGACACACACACACACACACACACTCACATACACAGACAGACACACACACACACACTCACATTACACAGACAGACACACACACACTCACACACACTCACATACACAGACACACACACACACACACACACACACACACACACACACACACACACACACACACACACACACACACACTCACACACTCACACACGCACACTCACTTGGTCTAACTAATTTGGGTGAGGAACAGGTGGTCACAATATATAATTTATATCTGTACTTGCCGATTACAGGACGTCGTGGTACAATGGCGTGGATCGGTGCTCATGCCGTCGACCCAGGATTCCATGGCCAAACCTTGATTATTTACAGGCCGCCTGGATATAAGTGACAAAACATATGTCAGTTGGTTGGTTATGTCTCGTAAGTACAATTCCATCTGTTGCATTATTTACACTGTGTTTGTAGGAGCGTGTAGCGCAGGGCAGCATGGATGGAAAGACGAGAACGGCAGTCATTGTCGGTGTAGCGGTTGGGGCAGTCATCTTCTTTGCTCTGGGATTCTTTGCCAGCAGGCACTGCAAGAAACGCCACGCCTTCAAGAGCATGAAGGTGAGTTTGATAAGATTGCATGACTTAATTAACGCATTTCCAGTTTTGGTTCGACAATGAGAATGTACGATATTGAGTCCATATTTTAGATAATGACTGCAATTTGTGTATTTATATATTTGCACAAAACATTCCATATACTCAGTCATTGACGTTATGGAGGTGTTCAATGTTCCCATATTTGCGAGCAGGCATCAATCAATACCTGTCTTCAGAAATGAGGATATATTGTACTTAAGTGAATTGATAATTGCAATATGGTCGGCCGCGGGAGTATTCATTTCATCTCGTATACATTGCCGAACAAATCTGGAATATTTGTTGAATCGATTGTAGCGCCAACAGTAACTATTACGAGTTATGTCCCTTCTATGTTCCTCCTATTGACCAATGAGATTCCACCTCTCATATCACTTGCATTTGCTTCAAATAAAATGGCGTCGCCCAGTGCAGACAATCTGATCGATGATCAAGATCTATGTTGTGATACAATGGGTCTTACTTCGCGAAGTGCATCAAATCACATGAGCACCTAGACGGAAAACAAAAAATGATTTGGAAATTATCTGTTGACGCTAAGTTGTCGGAACACGTGTTTTGCAAATGCTGCAATCGACCGAAATCTGCACGGCAGTTTTCGAACCGGATGTCGATTTCGTGACGCCATTTTGATTGGACTATGCATAGACTCGTTAGTACAGCCAAAATACTCCATAATTCTAGCTTAGTTCGGCGACTGTGGAAACTGGACTTTTATAGTCAGTTAACTCCCTTGCCTCGGGAAGATGTGGACATGCCAGAAGCCTATCACTGTCGGTTGGAATCCTAGTTTGACAGATTACGTTTCTAGATTTGTCAGCTCGCGGGTAATGTCTAAGATATGCTTCAGTTCGTGTTTTCCTCTTACACCAAGCTGACACTCTGTGATCAGACAAAAATTAACATTCAAGGGGGCGTTAAACCCAACTCACTCACTCACAATACATATACTCCAATGCAGGGACCAGTGAGGTGCCCTGTAAACACAATATGTGAACCTCATACTGTGAGACCCCATTGTAATGTGTCTGGAATAGAGCTGGAATCGTTTAAGAACAATTCACTCACCCATTCCAATCTTTACAGAAGCTGGATGCAGAGAAGGCTGCCAAGCCACAGAACGGGACTCCAGAAGCAATAGAATTCCGAGATGGGCGGTCCACGGGGAAATACGATCCTGGATCTTACGAGAGAAGTCCTCTGTCCTCTAGTCCACGAACTGATTCAGTAGTCCTTCTCAGTAACAAGCCATTGTCTACAGCTCCAACAAGTCAGGGTACGTCCAGGCTTTATACACCTGACAAATATGTTATCCAATATCCCTTGTTTCTTTTCATATAATTATATCCCGAACGTCCATGCTTCGTTTTGGACATTGAATTAATTTCGAAAACTACTTAATATACCACTGATACATGGTGAAAGGTTTCTCCAGATGATCACATGGACATTATGTGAAGCAAGAAAGCAGAGAAGCAATTGAAAGGGTGGTGTAATTGTTATGGAAGAGTTGTGTAGCAGGGCGTTGAATCATCCCACAGATGACATCCTTACCTAGTCAGCTTGCTGACGGGGTTAACCTCCTTGGTCATGTGGACAAGGCGTCCGACCTCGGTCAGAAGGTCCGGGGTTCGAATCCCATCAAGGGACTCGGAAATTTTAGGGCCGCTACATTGGCGCCCAACGTGGGGCTGTGCACGTTCATATTAAATTTGAGTAAATTAAGCCTCAGTACCCTACTATGCGGCCCGGGGCGTGCCTTCTGTTGACGGGAGAGTATGTAGCAGGGCGTTGAGTCATCCCACAGTTGACATCCTTACCTTGTCAGCTTGCTGACGGGGTTAACCCCTTTGGTCATGTGGACAAGGCGTCCGAAATTTTATGACCGCTACAGCTACACGTCAACATTAGATAATTGACTTTCTCAGTTTCTGTATGTCAATATGAGCATTTCACTTTGAAAGCAAAAAACAAAATGTGTTTCTTCAGAAAGTTAATATATAATTACGATTTTTTTACACTGGAGAAATGATATAGCTCCGCCTAGACCAAGGGAGCTGAGCATGACGGCCGATTTTGAGAACTAGAAATTAGATCTACAATTTTTATGTTGTGGACCGTTTCTATTAGTTGTAGCATGGATTGCGAGCGGTACCTTTGATCTTACCCGTGCTGTATCATGGTAGTAAGAGCACGGTTTGTTAAAGATCATTACCATTGGCTGATGCCAAGATCAGCAAGCCCCGCCTACTAGCTTAAGAAATTTCAAACTTACAACAATGTTTCTTTAGTGTTGTACAGTGTTCAAGAGTAATAACGTAAATAAACAACAAAAAACAATAGAAATGTTAATAACTTACTTTAAAGATTACAATGTAACTGTCAAACATAAAAACAAGTGGACACAAAACGCATTTTGCTAAATTCGGAAAATTAATAGTTGACATTTCTAATGTGCCGTTGAAAATTCCAAAGTTTACACTTGATTTAACAATTAGATTAAAAGTTAAAAACGGTTCGACGGCAGAAAGCATGTGACGTCATATTTATATTATATTATACGTCACTAAATTTTACACAAACTCGAGCAATTTTGGAATGACCGTCGCAACCCGTGCTACAAGTCATTTACAACACACCCACCTACTCGTTGTTTGGGCAGTAAGAGCACGGATTGGCTTGGCATTTGATTGACAGACAAAAGGATCACCTCGGGGCTCCGCCCCTCGATCCTTTAGTCTGTCAATCAAATGCCAAGCCACACCGCGCTCTTACTGCCCCAACAACTCGTCTTGGTGTGTTGTAACTATAACGGACACCGCTGCTGCCAATTTATTTTGTGTATTGTGATAGCCACAAGACTGATAAATCTAGTTCCGGTTAAGTCAGATGACCTGAATGCATGATCGATCTGTGACGAGTTACGCTCCTTTTTCAATCCTGTCATGATCCATGATACTATAGATCTCTTTTTAAGCATGCACTTATGTATCCGTAACAGTTTGTGGCGTCATCCCACAGATGTCTTCCGTGCCTTGTAAGCTTGAGTTAACCTCTTTGGTCATGTTGACATGGCGTACGACCTATGATCAGAATATCCGTGTTTCGAATCCCGTCACAGGACGCAGAAATAGTATGGCCTCACCATTGGCGCCAAACGTAGGGCTGATCAGATTCAAATCAAATCTGAGCAAAACAAGTCTCAGATACCCTCCTATACTCAGAACGTGCCTTCTGTTGACGGTGCAGTATGCAGCAGGTTGTGGAATCATCCCACAGATGACATCCTTACCTTGTCAGCGTGATGAAGGGGTCACTCTGTTTTTGGTCATGTGGACAAGGCGTTATCCTATTTTTATCCTAAACAGAAGTCATCCCGATTAGGTCTGTGATATTTGTGAGCACTATACTTATGTTGGGTGTATTCACGTTAAGGTGACATGCCGCGATATAACAGAAATACTGTTCAAAGTGACATGACTCAAACTCAGCCACTCACTTAAACAAAACGCACACATATTCAGTGTGTATCGTGTTCTGTAGAAGTTTACGTACAAAATATTCCCCATTCTGGGCAATACATCTTGATGACGACGTTATTGATAAACACCAACAGCGGGTATTGTCAGTACGATATCAAATTCAACATCCTTATACAATTGGGACACGGATGACCCTGCCCGAAGGGCCGGGACTTTTTTGTTGTCTCCCTTGGACGTGATTGAAACCTATGATGGTTCGAATCCCATATTGACCTAGATTATGGTTTGGCGTTTGTCAGCACCATATGGATACAGCTCGATTTAAATAAAGTGATAAACGTCGAAGACTTGCACCACTTCAGGCTTTCCTCCAACATTAAGCTGACACGTCGTGATATAACTGAACAGCAACCGAACTCACTCACTCACTCACAGATTTCTTTCAATTTCAGATAAGCATGTGAACGGAATTGACAAGATCAAGTACATGGATGAAACTACAGATGAAGAGGCCGACTCTGCTACACCACACGACCGCCTCATCAGGGATGAGGAAGCTTCCAAGAACGCTAACGGGCAAATGGGGGCCAAATCCTTGTCTAATGACGTCATGAACAAATTTGATGACAAATTAACCCCGATCGAGGAAGAGAGACAGCCCATGATATCCAAACAATCTGATGATGCTGAAGAAGCCAGCTAACCTCATCATGTCATTGGATTTGCCATCTGTTACGTCATGTGTGAACTTTATGGGTTTAAACAGAGTATTTGCTCTTGGGACGAGGGGTAATATGAAGAGATGTTGTGAGATTGTTGAGAGTATTATATTCGAATAATTTACATATTCACGATCTCCAAAGCATTGCATCACAATTGTAGGCTCCCGCTCCAATGTTTTTGTCATCCCAAACACCTTATGCCATCATTGTAAGTATACAGCGATGCGATTAAGTTTTGATTTAGTTTGGTTCCTTTGAATATGTAAAATGAAACCTCATTAATCCGGACGCTAGCCTTCCCAATAAGTTTTCCACATTAACGAATCTGTAAACACATTTCCTTATCTGTGTACGGATAGTTTCACTTTTTAAACTTGTGCGTATTCCAAGGAGTAACCAATTGATGGTGGACTTTCCAGATCAAGAGGTTCCGGATTATCGAGAGTTAACTGTATGCCATTAAGGCCACGGCATGCTGGGTTGCCGTTATGTCGGGGCCACGTGAGTTGGTGTGTTTCTGTCGAGGAATGTCACCGTATTAATATTGATTATCTTAAGATTTGAGTTCAACATTTGCTTTCGTTTTGTGGAACATTTGCACTGTTATTTCAACCATTCTTAACCAGCCAATCATCAACCATTCTTTACCAGCCAAGCATCATGCATCATAGAGCGTTCAATGTCTCAATATGGCTGAAATATTGCAGACATGAGCCATTAAGCGTTCAATATATTTCATTACTTCGTTGCCTTCTCTTACATAATATCATTAAACCATGATTTGTTTTATCTCCATGGTGATCACAATAATTGTCACCAACATTCATGAGAATTGACGTATACAAAATTGTGACCAAAACTATGCGACTTCATGTATATGTAGCCTTGACTTAACTTGAACGTGTATACCATTGCTTTTTATTTCGGCTAAAGGTGGCGAAGAAAACCTTGGAATCGCTTACATCTTACATTGAAGCCTTGTAAACTTAAATTCCCTGGGACCATATCGAGTAACCCGTAGTTCGAGACAAAAGGAGATCTATGGATTCCGCTTGAGGTATACAATTTCGAGTTTCGAGTTGCAAAGGTTTTTGTTGTATAATGGATTTTACACTGGAGTTTTGCAAGATTACAATACAAGTATTTCTGTCACTTGAATTTTTATTTGTGTTGCAAATATGGTTTTTCGTTCTGTGTAGTTCCGATCATTTAACATGCATCTGCCTCTTGGAATTCAACCCATTTGCTGAATACATCACTTTACATATGACACATGTGCACGTGTACATATACATTGGGATAAGGTTTTAGTGTATAGAAACAGCGTGTTATAAGCTCAGTGGAAGGGAAGCCTAAGGTGAAGTTGATGTGGTGCTGACCAAACCAGAATCATCATTTTGGATTGGAACCCACTAAAAGCCTTAATTGATTCCACCAACACCACCATAACTCCCCATACCAAGCCACCAACCAATCCACTCCGACAATATTGGAACACGTATTGTTATCATGTATTTAGATGAGACTGTAAGGAACTGCACATTCATCCACATGGGACGATAGCGAAAATGTAAGTATGGAAGAACATGTCATCAATTATACTATAAGACACAAAACTTAAAAGCATCACTGCCTTTAGATGTGTAAACTGGGTTTTGATGAATCACATGTGTTTTATTGTCGGAAAACATCTATTCAGTGCCTTTTAGTACTTGTTTAGTAGTGCATTGTGGCGCAAGTATACGGATGCTTATTATTTATTTATAAATATTTGTATTGACACTATGTAAACAAAAACACATTTGCTTCGTTTGGTTGGATATTGGCTGTACCTAAGCCCTTCGGGTCTCTTAGATTAACACCTTCGTTGATTCTTTGGTGACGAAATATGGGATAAGAATTAAAATCTGGAACTTTTGTTTTCATCATTGGTAGTAAATATATTTTTTTTTTTTTAAACAGCCAGATATCAATCAGATTATGGCACGAAATAGAGCAATTATAATTCATTACGGTGTTGAAAAGGTCTAAATGTGACTTATGAAAACTATTCCTATGAAAACAGGAGAGGTGAAACAAGTCAATCTGTAACTGTAGTTATATGTATCTTGAAATTATCACAAATTATGCGTCCTCTTGTTGAAGCTTTAACTTGTTCAAGAAATATTCTTGCCGATGACATAATCATGAAGAGTTTATTTTCGTGTGTGCATATCAGGTTCTTTGTCTTGATGTCAGTTTCATTTTGTTTGTTAATGTACATACCTGTAACTTACCTTCTATGTTGTTAAATGTTGATATTTATCATTGTCAATTGCAAACTCATTTCAGGTTACTGTTTGTTTTCTGTATCTTTTGCCGGCTTATACGGAGCTGTAATTTATTTGAACAGCATGCTTTAAATTTTGAAGAAAAGTATCACAAAAATATTATTTCTTGGTCACTTGCATTATTGTATGATGGAGTTCGATGTCAATGTTCAATCATAACGTGTTGATCTAGTCTGCGGTTGTGAGATGTTTGTTATAGCAGGGATACGTACACGTGTGTGAAAGTGGGAGATGAAGGCCTTCATGGCTATACATAGGTTAATAGCAAGCATCACTTCGAACGCGACCAAGGCGCGAAATGGTCGCGTCTCGGTCGCGATCTATGCACGTTTGTCTTCAGTGGTAGTGGACGAAAACATCTCAGATGTTTTTTCCAAGAGCGATAGAAAAGCGGACACGTCTTGCATGGCTGAGAACAAAAGCTTTTGCAACTTTCTGGTTCCCTTTCTGTGTGTCCACTGGTTCTCGACGATAATATATTGAATTTCCTCATACACTTGCCTCTTACCGAATCATGTTTCGATGATTTACAAACAGTGTAATATGGTTATAACCAACTCCAAGGGACTAGGTAAACTAGTTATATACGTAGTTTCTAGTTTCTTACTCGGGAAACCTTTCTGATATTTTGGTTTCGAAACAATTCATATACGTTTGATTTGAATACATATACCATGTATTTTTTGAAGAACTCAAAATATCTTTTTGGACTTGTGCCAAATGTTGTGTACGTATTTGGTACTCGAGTTGGGCAGCTCTCTCTACGAAGATTTCAAAGAGCGTCAAAAGTTGTTTGATCGGGGTTGCAACATTCAGCAAAGTTGTAAAACAAATTAAGGTAGACAGTTGGAGGAAATTTCCCTATTTTAACGAATCAGTAACAGAAATCATGTCCGATGCAGTTCCCTATTTTTCTTGTACCACATGTTCCCGTTTTTTTAATGAAAAAAAATACTTGCCTTTGCATGTGTTTGTGATGGGTACTGTGGGTGGGGCAGGATACGCTTACCTTTTCGTGAACACCTGGTATCATCACTTTCTGATAGTGTTTCAAAAACACATGCCCATGATATAGTCGGAATCGTATAATGGAGATTTATTTTGATTGTGGACGTGTTTCTTGTCGTTTTTAATTCATAAATTCTTATTATTAATGTTTTATCGTACACATAAAGAAGCCTTAAACTGACGAAACATGAAAAACTCTTTGCTCCTTGAAAGTCTTCGTGTCTTGGAATGTATGTCGATGTATATTTTGTTGATGTTTTTATTGAATGGTGTCTGTGTATAGCCGAGATAGAGAAATAAATAAATATATGTTTTGTTACACAGGGTTATTGTTTTTGTCATAAAAAATCTTAGCCTATGATGAACTTCATTAATGCAATAATCGTCTTATGAAGAACATTAATCTGAAGTTCCGATGATCAGATCTTATTCTTATACTTATACCAATAATTCACAACAAAATGCTAACGAATCAATATCGTAAATGTATCGCATCACAGAGACAACTGGCCTAATCCGAGATACAAGTGAGTGAGTGAGTATGGTTTTACGCCGCTTTTAGCAATATTCCAGCAATATGACGGCGTGGGACACCAAAAATTGGCTTCACACATTGTACCCATGTCGGGAATCGAACCCGGGTCTTCGGCGTGACGAGCGAACGTTTTAACCACTAGGCTACCCGACCGCCCCTCCGATATATAATATATAAATCAATGTCACATGCAATACATACAGTACCGCTATTGTAGTTGGAGAGTGAATGTTGTCCTGGAGAGATTGGAAATTCCTTGTACAATGAAACATCTGACGCTAGGATGAGTGGGTCTTTATGCCTCTTTTATCAATATTGCAGCAATATCACGGCGGGGGACACTAGCAATTGGTTTCACACGTTTTACCCATGTGAGTAATCGAGCCCGGGCCTTCGGCTTGACGAGCGAACGCTTTAACCAATAGGCTACCTCAATATTTATGATTGAGGAAAAAACACATTCATCCAAAAAATATTCATACGGCCAGAGTCCGCCCGGAGAGCGGAAGGTCCGGGGTTCGATCCCCGGCCGCGTCATACCAAAAGACGTTAAAAGATGGTACTTGTTGTTACCCTGTCTGGCGCTCGACATTAAGGGTCTAAAACAAGGACTGGTCGGCTCGGAGTCAGTATACTGTGTCTGAGTCGGGTATTCATGTTAAACTGCTGCATGGTATCTCATTGAGCTAGCACTATAAATCGGCATCAGTCCGGACTAGTACAAGCAGCCACACACACACACCACACCACCTCATACGCCCAGAAATAATTTTCGGGATCCAATTCCATTCAGCAACATTTCTCAACTAATAGGATTGCAACACCATTTCATTTTTTAATACTTAATGTATCATTTGATGGGGTGTGTGTGTGTGTGTGGGGGGGGGGGTGTGTGTGTTAGTGTGTGTGTGTGTGTGTGTGTGGGGGGGGGGGGGGGGTGAATGGGTGGCCCAGTCGTCTAAGGCGCCGCGATTCGCTGTGCAGAGTTGCGTCCCTTGGGCACGCCAGGAACCTATGATTGTGGGTTCGAATCCAGGTTCGCCCCGATTATGTTTCTAGGTTTGTCAGCACCATACCCGTGCTTGTGGGTTTCACCGAAGTGGTAAACATCTGAGACCTGCATCACTTCGGGCTTTCCTCCCACATTAAGCTGACACGCCGCGATATAACTGGAATACTGTTAAAAGCGGCGCTAAACCCAACTCACTCACTCACTCAAATGGACGGTGCAAAAAATACGCGACCCAAACGCAAACATTCCACGGCTCTGTGTGTAGTATGTTCCATCCTGCTAACACTTAAAGAAATGTATATCAAAGAGACGGTAAACCAGTAACATGGGTTTGAGTCAACTACATTACCTCTACGTGGGAGTAGAGGGCCATTCGGCCGGTTCCCAGTGTTTCAAGTGACAGTGAAGGTTGTAGACGAGATATATGATTGATTAAAATGGCGTATTTGAGACAGGCCGATCTGTAATGAGCGTAATGTGTGAGCATGACATTATACGCACATGGCGTTACGTGGGAATTTCACTGTGCTTAGCAAAGACATGCTGACATGTCATTCCTCGGCCGATCAGGCTGACTCGGAAGGTGCTCGGATTACGCGACGTGACGCGGGAGAAGTTGTATCAGTAACACGAGGGATAATGTGGTTTTATGCGGCCCTCGTGAGATTTTATTTTAACGTGCAGCTTTTTGCTTCGAAGCGGGGATTTAGGGATTTTTTCTCGCGCTCAGAAATCCTTGTATAGTCTGTTTTATTTGTGGCGGGGTATAAGGGATTTAATGTCCCGCTCAGAAAACCATGTGCACCCTGTTTTTTTCGCGGCGTGGTATAATGGATCTATTCTCCGCCCAGAAATGTGCTGCCTGTTTTCTTCGTGGCGGGGTATAACTGGTGTATTCTTACACTCAGAACTACAAGTGCACCCTGTTTTCTTCGTGGCGGGGTATAAGGGGTGTATTCGTCCACTCAGAACTACACGTGCACACTGTTTCCTTCGCGGCGGGGTATAAGGATTTATTCTCCCACTCAGAATTCTTTTCCCTCAGAGACTTGAAACATGGTATTTTATCCAACCAGATCTCAACATTCTGATATTGAGTTAAGACTATGGCATATATCCGACTCATGAATGCATTATCTATTCTGGGATTAAAGTTTTCAACCAATTACGATAATTCTTACATCTAATTATTGCCTGATTATACGTTAACTGTGTATGAATACGATACACATCTACTCATTTGAGTCTGTCTGAATGATAATATCATCTGACCATGTAATTAGAGGAACATCATGTATAAATACGATAAAATGTATGACCATGTTTTTATAAGTTAAATCATTAAGTGACGAAATACGTATCTGAAAAAATAAGTTAATGTCTCATTCGAGTGACATAACGTGTTAATTAAATTAGGTGGAACTCTTGCCAGTTACTGACAATGCGAAAACACTTTACATAAAGGCTAATTGTTATTACCTGGGCAAGCAATATCATGGTTCATGGCCGATGTGTTGAGAACCTTTGTAGCAGGACCGAACTATGCAATGGCGAAATTGTAATGTTACCATGTTCAGAACTGACATTCGAAAAGTCAAGTTTCGCGCAGCACTGCCCAGGACCCAACGGTTGAAAATGTGAAGGGTTTAGAAGAGATTAATAAAGCAATGTGTACCGAATAAACTTTTGGCCGCGTCGGCCTTTTTCTTCAAGATAGACAGAGTATTAAGAATTATAAAAGAAAAAAATAAACAGAGTTTTGAGATCAAAGTGAGATGAAGTTTTAATTTGTGTAAGTATTATTACAAATTTATTGTAAGTGTAGTTATAACAGATTAGGACATTGTTAGGGAGTCCACGCCAATGTGATTACGGCGCAACTTCAGATCAGCTTCACAGGGAACACCTATAGACACAGTAACTTGCATTATGGAGGATACACGTTTAAATCAACAACACTGCAAGGAGACATCCTACTGGCGATCTATAGACAAGACCTGTAAGGCAACACTGCAAGGAGACATCCTACTGGCGTTCTATAGAGGAGACCTGTAAGGCAACACTGCAAGGAGACATCCTACCGGCGATCTATAGAGGAGACCTGTAAGGCAACACTGCAGGGAGACATCCTACTGGCGATCTATAGAGGATACCTGTAAGTCAACACTGCAAGGAGACATCCTACTGGCGATCTATAGAGGAGACCTGTAAGGCAACACTGCAAGGAGACATCCTACTGGCGATCTATAGAGGAGACCTGTAAGGCAACACTGCAAGGAGACATCCTACTGGCGATCTATAGAGGAGACCTGTAAGGCAACACTGCAAGGAGACATCCTACTGGCGATCTATAGAGGAGACATGTAAGAGAACACTGCAACGATACATCCTACTGGCGATCAATAGAGGAGACCTGTAAGTCAACACTGCAAGCAGACATCCTACTGGCGATCTGTAGAGGAGACCTCTAAGTCAACACTGCAGGGAGACATCCTGCTGGCGATCTATAGACAAGACCTGTAAGGCAACACTGCAAGGAGACATCCTACTGGCGATCTATAGAGGAGACCTGTAAGGCAACACTGCAAGGAGACATCCTACTGGCGATCTATAGAGGAGACCTGTAAGGCAACACTGCAGGGAGACATCCTACTGGCGATCTATAGAGGATACCTGTAAGTCAACACTGCAAGGAGACATCCTACTGGCGATCTATAGAGGAGACCTGTAAGGCAACACTGCAAGGAGACATCCTACTGGCGATCTATAGAGGAGACCTGTAAGGCAACACTGCAAGGAGACATCCTACTGGCGATCTATAGAGGAGACCTGTAAGGCAACACTGCAAGGAGACATCCTACTGGCGATCTATAGAGGAGACATGTAAGAGAACACTGCAACGATACATCCTACTGGCGATCAATAGAGGAGACCTGTAAGTCAACACTGCAGGAAGACATCCTACTGGCGATCTATAGACAAGACCTGTAAGTCAACACTGCAAGGAGACATCCTACTGGCGATCTATAGAGGAGACCTGTAAGGCAACACTGCAAGGAGACATCCTACTGGCGATCTATAGAGGAGACCTGTAAGGCAACACTGCAAGGAAACATCCTACTGGCGATCTATAGACAAGATCTGTAAGGCAACACTGCAAGGAGACATCCTACTGGCGATCTATAGAGGAGACCTGTAAGTCAACACTGCAGGGAGACATCCTACTGGCGATCTATAGACAAGACCTGTAAGGCAACACTGCAAGGAGACATCCTACTGGCGATCTATAGAGGAGACCTGTAAGGCAACACTGCAAGGAGACATCCTACTGGCGATCTATAGAGGAGACCTGTAAGGCAACACTGCAAGGAGACATCCTACTGGCGATCAATAGAGGAGACCTGTAAGGCAACACTGCAAGGAGACATCCTACTGGCGATCTATAGAGGAGACCTGTAAGGCAACACTGCAAGGAGACATCCTACTGGCGATCAATAGAGGAGACCTGTAAGTCAACACTGCAGGAAGACATCCTACTGGCGATCTATAGACAAGACCTGTAAGTCAACACTGCAAGGAGACATCCTACTGGCGATCTATAGAGGAGACCTGTAAGGCAACACTGCAAGGAGACATCCTACTGGCGATCTATAGAGGAGACCTGTAAGGCAACACTGCAAGGAAACATCCTACTGGCGATCTATAGACAAGATCTGTAAGGCAACACTGCAAGGAGACATCCTACTGGCGATCTATAGAGGAGGCCTGTAAG